GTTGGCCTCGAACTCACAGAGATCTGCCTGCCTCTTCCTCCAGAGTGCTGGTATTAAGGCGTGCGCCACCAACACCCGGCGTTGTTTTATTTTTAATTAGAAGTATGATTGGGAGAGTGTCTGTGTCCATGAGCACTAGTGTGATGTTGGAGCCCTTAGCTGTGAAGTTGCAGGTAGTTATAAGCAGCCTGATGAGGGTGCTGGGAAGGACCTCCAGTTCTTTGCAAGGACAGTAATCATTTTTAACCAGTGAACTACTGTTCCAACCCTAACACAGTAGAGTTTTACTTAAACTTAGTGATTTTCATTTGTTCAAGTATCATCTAACGCTGCTTTTCTTATAAAGGGCAGGGGTTGGTAGGTTTTGGGGAGTATCTGACTGTCAGAGCCTAAAATATTTGCTGAGATGCTTTTTACACATAACTTTTGTGACCCAGCAACATGAGTTGTTTAGGGCTGGCAGGGACCATCTAAGCCTGGATGGGAGCTAGGAGAAGGTAGAGTGTACAAAGGAGAGGTTTGGTCCTGGTAAAAGTGGAGTTGAGAAGTTCAGAATTTTGCTCTAGGCTCTTTATGGCTATATATGTACACACACACACACACACACACACACACACACACACACACACACACACACACACAGTGCTTTTGATCGATCATATTAAATCAAGAGGCAGAGTTTATGGTTTTTATGTAACAACCAGGGATTAGAAACAAAATCTATGGATTTTTAATTATTTTTCTTAACCACAATGGTTAAAATACTTTAAATACTTAAGCCAGCTTTAAAAAAATGCAGTGGTAAGTATTAGAATAATTTTTAAACAATTGTGATAGTCTTAGTTACAGTTACAATGTCTAGTAGTTAGTTTCCTTTTCAGTAGGAGGCCCACTGATAAATTAACTGTAAAATGTGTGTACATATGGTATATTAGGCTTGTCTAACCTGTGACATATAATCACAGGTAGTTTTCTTTAATTTTACTCAAACAGTGCTTGCCAAGACCAACAAATGTGTTGAAACTTGAAGGAAATGAAATTCTACCTTTTGTGTAACTCAAAGGAATTTTTTTGTCCTCTAATACAACATTTCATTTATACATTGTCTTCAGGGTATGCATTCCTATCTAATAGGAACGTCTAACGGCTGAAGTTTAATTGTCTCCATAAATACTCTGCCTTCTGTGAATGAAGTAGCTAAGCTTCTTAAAGCCTTTGTGAATATTTTTGTTAGTTTGGTTAAAGTAGGACTGACAGCAATTATTATTAATGTTTGTAATATGGGAACGACTGACTGATCTTTACCAGCTATTTCATTGTCGTTAATCATTACATATTTAGATGCATTACATTGTCCTGACTGTGAACACAGGCTGTGCAGAACTGTAATGCCAAATAGTTTTCTTTCAAGGCTGTGGAGAAGGGAGAGTAGTGGGGAGAGGTGGATGCTTTTACTGTTGTTGAGAGGAACGTCTTTGTCCTAATCTAATAAACAGTGATCATGTTTGTATTATTTCAGGTAGGCTTAATAGAACCCATAGCTATTTGTTATAAGACTCTGGAGGAATGTTTTTGTTTTCTCTTTCTCAGCTTTTGTAGAAGGAAACAAACACTTAAGACGTATTCTCCAAATTCAGGGAGTTTAAGATAGAGTTAATTTGGGCTATAGACCCTCCTTACAAATTAGTCTGTTGTAGTAATGAATAGGGAAGGAGAAATAAGATATGAAATAGGAATCACAAGATATCTATCTATCTACATTAGAGCCGCATCTTACAAGGTGACTATTTTTCTAGTTTCTGTATCTAGAATATGTAGTGCCAAACGACCTTGCTGTTTAAGGCAGAAATGAGAAGATCTGTCAGTGAGTGCCAGTGGACTAGAGATACAAAAAGAGTCAGCTGGTCTCTAGTTTGCAGAAGCACAGAGTTACGGAGCATACAGATTGGAGTAGTGGATGAGTTTCACCAGGGATGTGGTCCTTAAAAGATTTCTGAAAAAGGAGATGTTTAGACTGGAGGGGGGTAGCTCAATGGTAGAATATTTTCCTTAGAATCAGAATCACAGGTCAAGTTCTCGAAGGCAAAGAACTGGGCGGGGACAGTGTGGCTGATGTATGCTGGTGGAAGGACACAGAAGATTGGAAGTGCATGGTGCTGCAGGAACCCATGGGTCTAGAACCCGGGGAGAGCAAATAGCAATGGTCACTCTCCCGGATTATTTTTCTTTGCTCTACAAACACAAGTTATTTTATATCTGATAGACATGCCATGTGAGCTTACTGTGTAGAAGCTATTTGTAGTCATTTGGAATTCAGGAGACTTTTGATGGGTCTTAAATTCAGTTCCATTTTGTTTGTTGTTATTAGGACCCAGTACACCCATGACAAATGAATATGTAGTACTAGGAATTATATTTGTAGGTTAGTTCACGAATTAACTGTTTTAATACATTATAAAAACACCATTATTCTTGAGAATAAAGATCTTCTTTAGTCTGTAGCCATAGTTTTGTTCCAAAATGTGTTCTGCTTCAGTCATCAGTTTTTAGCAAAACAGGTGGTAAGAGATCAAGGAGTGGCTGGTTTTCAAGACTGTTCACTGTGGACAGTGGCACCTGTGAAGAATCTGAAGGACCAGCTGAGAGAATTAGGATTAGCTCATCGTCACAGGTGTGAATTCACATCTCTTAGCCATCTGAGGAGAATAGAGAAATTAGTGTAGATTATTCTAGTTGTAGAGCTGTTTTCTTATTATTTTTGCACCATTGTTTGAATTTAGAATTTTGTGCATACTAGTCAAATGTAGTGTCATGAGTTACCTCAGCTCTCTGTTTTTATTTGTAAGACAAAATGATAGATGTTGAAATTATGCATTAGAACACATAGAGGTAATTAGATTTAACTTTGTCATATAAATTGTAATGCTCTTGTCATTCTTCAGTGTGTTTCAAAATCTTGGGTATTTATCATATTCATTAATCCTTAATGTTGTCAATGGAATATTAGTAAATGTTCTTTTTAAAAAATATTTTTGTGACAGTATTGTCAGGAAAAATGTCTTACATATGTACTTGCTTCATATAGTTGCCCAGGCAGGTGAATTTCACTTTTTTGTTTGGCTACTAAGTCACTGAAACACTAGGTCCAAGTTTTATGACCTGTCCTTGGAAATAATGCTGACTGGAGGGATGAGAGGGTAGGCAGAGATTGTGTGTGTTTCTTAGTTTTTAATTAATTAATCAATACCTTTCATCTTTCCTGAAACAAATTTCAGATGCCCTAAAATTAAATGAATTTTTAAAAAGATAAGAGGGTAGAGTTAATAGGTCAATGGTAGTTGCTTAGCATGTGAGAAACCCTGAGTTTGGCCTGCTATTTATGTTTGAAAAAGACATAAGTAAGGAAATTGGAGAGAAGAGAAAAGCCAGATAAAGTGAAATTCATATTGTTCTAAGACATGAGCTATATATTTGCCTATAGATTTATCAAAGATCCAGCCATAGGAAAACATGGATGTCTGTCTCTAAAAGACTGAACTATACCACATAATACACAAAAAGCCATGTGCTATATTACCTGGTCCTGGAAAGGAAGGGACATTTATGGAATGTCTTTGATGATGTCCAGGCAGTACAAGGTCATTCCTGTTAGTGTTAGTATTCAGGCATCTGTACTGGCCTGTCCTAGGGGTTCTGACAGGATAAGCCCTCAGCTGCAACCACTACACTCCCTTTTAAAAGGGCCCTGCCTATCTCCCATCCTCCCCTCTCTGTTGCTCTCTTTCTGTCTCTCTTTCCTCTCTTCTGCTGCTCCTACCCGGGTAGGCTGGTCTCCCCCCTCTCCTTTCCCTAATTAAAAACAAAAGAAAAACCTCCACTTGAACTCTGTCACATGACATCTTTCTCTCTTGTGCTACCTTTTTAAAATGACAGCAGTTACTTCCAGCTTGGAGTTTCTGTGGTCTGGCTTAGTCCTGTAATTCTACATTGAGAACAGGGGAGAACACTCAGATGGTTAGGACTGTCCCTAAGAGTCCCTTGAATTTCTAACATGACAGTTTTTCTTCAATCTTTTTTTTTCTTTCCAGATAGGGTTTCTCAGAGTAGTCCTGGCTGTCTTGGAATTTGCTCTGTAAACCAGGTTGGCCTTGAACTTGGAGATCTACTTGCCTCTGTCTCCCAAGTGCTGGCATTAAAGGCATGTGCCACCAACACCCGGGAGGCTTTTTTTTCTATCTTTAAAAGCAGATTGCTGTTTCTTTAGGGGATTTATGGAATGAGGAAGTTGGCTTTCATTTAGGTACCAAATTGCACTAAAAAAATGGTAGTGGGTTGTACTTCTGCCTTGAGTGAAGACTGAGGCGTCTGAGAGCACAGCTGTAGGTCATCTCTATGCCTGGCATTTACCCTCATAGGGGACTGGCACACTGCAAACCCTCTTCTGTTTCCCCTTTCCTTCCCTCTCACTTGCAGTTGCACATGTAAACTTTGGTGTGGTTGTTGCTGGCTTCTTGGGAATATTGTTTCCCATAGCCCAGTACAAGGTCCATATTGGGTAGTGGCAGATCCATAAGCAAGAGAGTTCATCTGGACTGTATTTGGATTGCCCTGGGGAATGCAAGTACTGGAATCAGAGAACTTTATTAGAATTGTGGCTCTGGCATTCATTGGCTAAGTGATGTAGGCAAGCAACTCTTTCTTTTACATGGCCTATAAAATGGAGAGGACAGTGTTGATTTTAAGATTATTTCAGTGGTAGAGTGAGTGAACACATGTAAGCACTAACAGCAGTGCCCCACACATGCACATAGTAGCTACGCAGTCTACACTGCAGCTTATAACTTGTGTTTCATAATGAAGAAGCTGGAGTAGACAAATCTAGCCTCTCCTGCCTCTGGGGTAGGTAAAGCATTTTGGGGATGGGGCATTTGGAAGTCAGTCCCGTCTCATCCCCCGTGTCCTCCCTCTCCCCAGTTTATAACAACTTTATTTTCTTCCAGGGAAACAGCACCCAGAACGATCTTCCAGAGAGTCTTGGATATCTTAAAGAAATCTACTCATGCTGTTGAGCTAGCCTGCAGGGATTCTTCCCAAGTGGAGCACCTGGCTTCCAGTCTTCAGCTAATCACGGAATGCTTCAGATGTCTTCGGAATGCTTGTATAGAGTGTTCTGTGAACCAGAATTCAATCAGGTAGGGATACATATCCCTCTGAGTGTTTCTTATGTGGTGGCTCATGTTTTGGCTTTATACTATTACTCATTGGTTGTTTTTACAAAACTGTCCTTTACCTTTACAGGGAAACATTCTTTATTTCTTGTGTTCTCTTGTTTAACAAGAGGGATTATTCAGCTTTCCTGTTTGTAATTTGTAACTTATTTTGAAGTATTTGATATTTCATATGAGTGATTTGAACTTGGCATTGGTTCCATATTTCTAGGTTTGGCCTGCCCAAGCTCACCTGTAGTTCTTGGCCTCCTTTTAACTGTAAATGTTTCAGTTGCCCTGTATTTACATTGAGCAGGACTATTCATAAGTTCCTGAGATTATGTGTCTAAGACTCTAAAACTCAGGGCACTTTCTGTCCTACTTAGCTTTGCCTGCTTTTGAGAAGTGTGTTAAGTACTGAGCAGAGGATGCTCTCTGCTCTTTCCTTTGTACAGCTCCCACGCCTAGATCCCAGCTCTTTCCCTTCTCTTGGTTTTTTTTTTTTTTTTTTTTCTTTTTCCTTCGACAGGGTTTCTCTGTATAGCCCTGGATGTCCTAGAACTCACTACATAGACCAGGCTGGCCTCTGACTCAGAGATCTGCCCGCCTCTGCCTCCCGAGTACTGGGACTAGTGCCACCATGCGTGACTTTCCATCTTGCTTTTTATAGAATCAGCTTCTTATCAAATTTTTAAAGAATATTTTTCTTGAAATAAAATCAGAAGCCACAAGCAGATGCTTACTTTCCTTCCTGGATTTACTCTAGACAGGGCCTCAAGGCCTCTCCATCAGTGCTGTGATGGGTGAAGTTGAGCTGGTCTGGGAGACATTTGATTCCCTTGGCTGCTTAGACAGTATTAGACCTGAGGCTTTAAGATGATTAATGAGATTTTTAAGATGAAAGGAAAGGAAGAAAAGCTGGAGTTGTTTTAACATCAGTTCTAAAACAAATCTGCTATCTCTTTACAGAAAATGGGTAGAAATAACAATCATCTTGCTAATAATAGTTAATACTTTGCTTTTTAAAAAAACTAAATTTGAAAACATTATTAAAGATTGTTTTTTATTTTTGTGTCTGTGTGTCTGCCACATTTGTATTATGGGTGCCTATGGAGTCCAGATGGGGGTGTGGGATCCTCTGGAGCTGGAGTTGGTGGGTGTAGAGATCTGAACTTGCGTCCTGTGGAAGACCAGCCCCAATAATAGCATTTTAAAACATAACATTATGTTCTGGAAACATTGGCAGAGTACCAGTTTCTGTTGTACTTTCCCAGGTGGGGAAGCACGGGGAGCCCAGAACAAAGCCTGCACATGGGCATCTTTGCTGTGCTGGCCTCGGCAGGGAGGAAAGGCATGGTCCTAGGTGCTTCACTTGCAGTACCCTGTTTTAGTCCGTGGGTGTTGTAGGAATCCAGTAGAGTCATTGTATCTAGGGTAAACATTAGAATGAATAGTTATAGTTGTTTTCTAGAAGTACTTTGACCTTGAAGAAATCATTTCATTGTAGAAAACAGTGATTGTTTTCTGTGATGTGTGTAATTGTTTTTCTGAGGGAGCGTTACAGCCTTTGCATGACTTTGGTCACAAGACTTCCAGCTCACCTGGAGCTCTTGGATTACTGGGCACTGCAAATGGTACACAATAAGGACTAAAGTAACAGGGATGTGATGCTTTCCTTTACAGAAGTATATAGATCAGATTAGGGACCCTGGTATGAGGAACTTGTTTACTCAAAAGAAAAAAACTTTATGTAACAATCAATAAATATGCCTTTTTTATGGCTGTTCAAGGTTCAGTCCATCAGAGGCTGGGCTTCCCTGCTGCCACACAGGCTTACAAAAATTCATTTTGGACTTCTTTCTTTGACTGACTCATGCTTTCCTTGATTCACATACCTCCTCCACCTACAGTGTAGTATCTAACAGACTCTCTTTCTGCTCTGACTTCCTTTGACCTCTCATGAAGACCTGTAATAAATGGATTGCCTAGCATAATCTCCCAACCTCAGAATTGGTCATTAATTTAACACATCTAAATAGTCTTTGTGTTTGCTGATACCAATTATGAATCCCTGATACTAACTGGATGTTTGACAACTCCTGTTCTGGCACTATCTATGGGAATGTCATAACTTAAAAGGCTCACTCCTAGGTGGCTGTTGTGAGTGAGCACAGCAAAAGAGACCACTGAACACAGTCTTTTCCACCTATTAAGTAGGTGCAGCAAGAAACCACCGGAACAGCCATTCCCCATGTATAGAAGACCAGTTTTAATAAAAAAGAAAACTGGCTGCTTAGGACAGTAGAGATCAGCAGCCAGCTATAAAAGTTTGTTGGGTTAAATAGGGGTATGTGGAGGGCAGCTCAGATAGGGGAGGTGTTGCAGGTATGGTCAGAAGTGTTCAGGTGCTGACATCTCTATTCAGGAGCGTTCAGTTAGCTGTTAGGGCTTCTGAGAAATGCTTTTGGTTTTCGTTCCTAGTAACTCCAAGCTCAAGTGGGCGTTGAGGCATTGCTGTCAGCACTACCACTTTGGGTCCACATCTTTGTGACTTAACAGTTGCTACTTTGAACACTAGCTAGAAATCAGGTCCCAGGCAACCCCCATTTCTGTAAGACTGACTAGAAGTTGAGGGTTCCATGATAGGATTCCCTCAGTTTTAGTAATTCACAGAACTCAAGAAAGTAGGTTTCTGGTTCATTATAAAGGATATGTAGTAGGAACATCCAAGTAGAAGAATATGCATAGGGTGGAGTGATATTTCCATGTTCTCCCTGCATATGCAACACCCCTGGCAGTTTGATGTGCTCACCAACCTACAAGCTCCCCAGACTTCATTGTTAGTTTTTTAATGGCGTTTTCATTATATGGACATGGTTAATTTAAAACATTGGTTGTGGGTATTGAATTCAGTTTTCATCTCCTTGCCTATCTGATACTGAATGTTTATAGGTTGGGCCCACTGGCAGCTGTGTCTGAGTTACTTCTAGACCATAAACTTCAGGTATGAGCAGATGTTCCTGTCTTTCAGGAAAGTTTAAATGTTTCAGGAACTCTGCACCAGGTGCTCAGGACAAAGACTAACTACAGATTTCATCTATTGCTGTGTCTCTTCCCCATATAATATAAGGTCACTTAAAAAACAAACAAACTGATAAGGAGTTTAGGTTCTTCTGTTATTCCAGCTCATGCATTGATCTTAAACATTCACATCTATTGCATTCAAAATACATTTTTGTGCTATCCCAAGGTCTCCCATATTCTAAACCTAGCATCAGCTTATGTTCAGAGTGCCCTCTAAGTCTCGATATCTCAAAGTCCCACATCTAATCCTCTGAATTACCTAAGTTACATATGAAACTCTGTATGGTGATCCATTTTGGAACCAAGTTTCACTTTATCTGGTTCCTGTAACACTAGAAAATAATATCTTTTCTCAAAAACAGTAGGCAGAAGATCACAGTACACGGGACAGTTTTAGGCATTTCTTTTTTCTTTCCTTTCCATACAGCTGTAGGATGTTGTCCAAGGACTCTTGGCACTGCTTAGCAAAGATCGTCATTCCTGTACTCTCTAATAACATGCTCTCATTTCTTTCCAGACGTTGCCAGCTGTGCTTTCATATGTGTGTTTCTACCAGCAGTCTTTCTAAGGCACTGTGATGTTTTTTGTCATGCGTCTTAGGGTTCTTTTAGCCTTTTCCCACTGACCAAAGTCTCTCTCCTCTTCTCAGTTGTTTGTTACAGCAGCACCCCACTAATGACACTCAGATCTGTGTCACTTTACTTTTGTTGCAGTGACATGTTATCAAAAACTTAAACAGCACATGCTTAATTACCTTACAGTTTTGGAGTTTGGTAATTCATAAGAGATTGGCATGGATAGTACCTTCTTCTGGAGGCTTCTGTGACAGAATCAGTTTCTTTGCTTTTCCAGCTTTCATCCCTACTACTTTTCTTGGCATATAGCCTCCTTTCTCTTGGTTCCCACTTTCTTGAATTCCTTTTGTAAGGAGCTTTGTGGTACAGTAAACCTCCATATAACTCAGGGCAACCCTTCCATCTCAAGATTACTGGTTGGGTCTTGTGTGAAAAGTTCTCTCTACCAGATAAGGTAATAATTATAGATTTTTAGTAATCAGGATTTGCACATCCATGGAAGCTGTTAGTTTGCCCACTGTATGAACTATTGATCAGTAGTCTCAACATTATACATTAAACCAGCATTTCATATATTTAGCTTAATTCTGTCTTAAAATTTAATACAGGAACCTGGATACAATTGGTGTTGCCGTTGATTTGGTTCTTCTCTTTCGTGAACTTCGAGTGGAACAAGACTCTTTGTTGACAGGTAATGTACAGTATAATTAATGTATTATTGTCTTGAAAAAGGTTTAAAACCAATGCTCTGAGTATTTAGTCATTCACTGAAACATGTTCTATATTTCATGTAATATTAAAGAGTTACCGTGAAGGAAAGTTGCTGTGTCCTTTCTGTCTTGTTGTGGGCTGACTTGTTTCTTCACAACTTCTTACACTGAAACTTCTCTTAGTTTGTTTGGGCTGCTGTAGCAAAATACTTTAGCTTAGGTAATTAATAAGAGCAGGTATTTATCACCCTGAAAGGCTGGGAAGTTCAAGATCAGAGTTTCAACATACTTACTATATGGTAGGGGCTTACTGTCTGTTTCAGTGAAGGTGTCTTCTTCCTGTGTCTTTACATAGTAGAAGGACAGAAGGAAGCAAAGGAATTTGACCTCTTGTAAGGAACACTGACTGCAAGATCTAGTTACACCTCAAAGCCCTCATCACTTACTACCGACACTTTGGAGATTTGATAATCAGCATATGAATTTGAAAAGGACACAAACATTAGACCATAGCAAAATCCTAACTTGCACTGCCCAGAATATGACTGTATTTGAAGATAAGATTTTACAGGAGGTAATTAAGGTACAGTGAGTAAATTTGGTGTCTTCTTGAGAAGGATAGTAGGACACATAGGTGAAGACCATGTGAAAACATAGGAAGCAGATTGCAGTCTAGTGTCAGGAGAAATCAGCACTGACTTCATCTTAACCATGGATTTGGAGCCTCCAAAATGGTAGAAAGTAGTGTTTTGAAGCTGTTTAGTCTGTAGTTCTTCGCAGTAGCAACCTGGAATGTCTAATGCATTCCCTTGTGATACTTACAAATATGAGAGACACTGTTTTTGGTTTTAATATGAATATCCTCCATATGCCACATGTTTGAACACTTGGTCCTCTGCTAGTGGCACTGTTTTGGGAGGTTGTGGAACATTTTGGACATGGGGTCTAGCTGGCTGATAGCGAGCCATGGGGCAGGATTTACAGCTTACAGTCTTCCTGAGTTCTTCCTGAGTTCTCTGCTTCCTGATGGCTCTGGCAATGTCCTGTTAGAATTTCCACTAGTTTAGTTGTAGGCTGCTTCCACTGTCACTGACTGTGTCATCTTAAACTGTGAGCCAAAATAAATCCTTCCTCCTGTAAGTTGCTTCTTCCAGGTATCTTATTGCAGTGCAGATAAAAGTAACTAATGTGGATGTGATTCCAACAGTGACCAGAGTAGACAGAAATCTCTGCCCCTAGGAACTCATATTCCAGTGAGGAGAGCCAGATATGTTAAGTCAATTCTTACCTAGTGTGACAGAAAGGGACGGACGGAAGCTCTTTTCCTTAACAGCTGTTGATGTGTGATTAAAAGCAGTACTCAGCTTCTTAACTTGAAAATCTAGAAGGTTCTTACACTAATTTGAAGGCGTGTAGTTTTTTTGTATTAGTAGCAAAAATGCTTCTCCTTTGTAAAAGATTATTATCTTAACACATCATTAAATTAAATAATAGAGTTTTTATGTATGATATTTTTGTCTAAGAGATTGAGATATAATGAATAAATGTAAATTATTTGATATAATTTTAATGTAAGTATCCATGCTTATTAGACATACTAGATTATGGGTTAAAGTAATTGTTACAACAAAAAACACCTTTACCATAAATAATATAACTATTTGTTTTAAGTGGGAAGCATAACTGTTTAAAATAGATTTGATTTACAACTTTTTTTTCTTTTTGCTTTTTCGAGACAGGGTTTCTCTGTAGCTTTGGAGGCTGTCCTGGAACTCACTTTGTAGACCAGGCTGGCCTCGAACTCACAGAGATCTGCCTGCCACTGCCTCCTGAGTGCTGGGATTAAAGGCGTGCGCCACCAGCGCCCAGCTTGATTTACAACATTTAAGTCCTGTTTTTATATAACATGAGATATATTTACATTAAAGCTACCTGACATTCTATTCCCAGTGGATAGGTAAGAACTCTCTGCTCACAAGCACCAAAAGGAATTGTCCAAGTGACATAGACTAAGTATGCTAGTGTGCTGCAGGTACTACATGCTGCTACTGATTGTCACCCTATATGATTTCCTACCGTTTTCTTTTCAGGTCCATTTTACTACAGTTTTAGGATCTTAATATTTGATTTAGAAATCATTTAATTTGCATTACATTGTTAAATGAGTGGCATAGGTACAATACCTTGAATAAGATTAGAAATGTATGTATTGTATGTTGTAATAAAAACAATCTCAAATTTGTATCAATATATAAAAAAACCAAGCCAATGCAAAACATTTAAAGAAAAACAAACAAACAAATAAATAGTTGGGTGTGGTGACACATGCCTATATTTACATTTAGAAAGTAAATATAGGCTCAGGAGTGCAAGGTCAGCTTCAGTTATGTAGTAAATTTAAGGTCAGTCTGGGCTTCCATGAAAACCTGTCTCAAAAAACAAATGAAAAACCCAGCGCTGCAACAGCATTGATATCCCAATACTTATGTTAAAATTGACTCACACTATTTAAATTGTCCATCCACTGGTAGATTTTGGATTAGAAAACTACACATCAGTAAACATCTAGCAGCAACAGGAAATCAGTCTGTCCTAAAGAACTGACCTGTGATGTCAGTGCTTCTCAGAACAGCACTGTTACAGTTTTCCATGATTGCTATAAAATTATCTGTTATATCAAGCCACTTGGGTCAAAAGAACACAATGAAATACTTTCTGGGACAATTAAGACTTTTATTAGTTCTTAGAGAAGTAATTACTACCATGGTTGTAATAGCCCAAGGAAATTGCCAATGTTTCTCTCCCACTTCCCACCTGATAGTGTTGTTTTTTCTTAACTCTAATTGTTCTTTCAAATTATACTTATTTTAATTTCAACTTTATTCATTCAATGAATAAATGTGATTAATGTTTATCTCTACATGGAAAAATCATCTTTTAAATTTTGTCAGTTACGTGGTATGACAGAAAGTGGTGGTCTCTCTGTCTCTCTCTGTCCTCTCTCTGTGTGTACATGTTATGTGTGGGTGCCTACAGAAGCCACAGGAGGACTTTGGATCCCCTGGAGCTGGAATGACAGGTGATTCTGAGCTGTCTGACATGGGTGCTGGGTACTGAATCTGATTGCCAAGCCTCTGCTAGAGCAGCAAGTACTCTTAACTGCTGAGCCTTAACTCTTTCCTCCTCCTTGTTTTAGGAGCCACTAAACTGTTTTCCAACACAGTGGAGCCATTTGCTTTCAGTCAACAGTGTGTGTTCTAATTTCTTCATATCCTTGCTGACACTTTCTACTTTTTTGGTTTATAGTCATCCTGGTGGGTATAAAGTAATGTGTGGTTTTTATTTGCATTTCCCAAATGACTAAATAACGATGGTGAACATTTTCTCATATGTGTATTGGGCGTTTATAAATTTTTGGGGAAATGTCTGTTTGAATCCTTTGCTCAATTTCTTTTTCTTGATTGTGGTTGTATTTTATTGTTGAATTGTAGAAGTTACTTCTGTAATATATTATAGATATTAGGGCTTATGTTAAATCTGCAGATTAGTCTGGGAAAAGTTGCCATCTTGACAATATTGGGTCTTCTAGTCCATGAAACAGAAGCAGCTTCTTTTTAAAAATTTAACTGTCTCTGTTTTAAGTAACTGACCTGTTTTCTGTGATAGAATTGGAAGAGAGGCAAGGAGGAAAAGGAAAGTTAGTGGTATTTCTCACCACCTCTAGGAAAGGAAAGCCCCTGGTTTTTATTTGGAATTCAGCAGTGACATTTGCATTTAATAAGAAGCTGAGAAGTTGTTTTCATAGTGCCTTCATTCAAACCCAATGAAATAACATTGTAAAAAGTGTTCTGATTTCATTTTCTGTTAATTCTGTCTCTGAGAACCTTATTTTAGGGAGATTGTTGTCAGGGTAACTGTGCCAGTTTTTTGTTACTGCTTCTGAGGTAAGAACTATAATTATATTGTCAAAATAATATTTAGAGTATTATTTTCAGGCAATAATTGCAGTGGTCTGACAAATATATTATGGTCATCAAATTTTATGTAAACACAAGTATGAGTTATTTTAATTGAACTATTGATGTTGTTTTTGGCGTATATTCTTTCCTAATCTGTAAAAATAATGCTGGCATTTTTTAGAGGCTTTGCACTATTCTTAGTGTTTACATAAAGATCAGTTGATAAGCTGTTTGGTAAAGTAAACTGTTATTTTATTTGCCTACAGTCTTCTTGCTTGTGCCTAGGCCATCTGTAAGTCTTTTCCTTCCCAGAATCGTGTTTTGGATTTTCAGAGGTTTTGATGCTTTTTTTTTCTTTTTTCTTTTGGCTTGAGGAGCTGTCTTTCTGCTTGGCTGTGAGGCCAGTGTATCCCTTTCACTCTTTTTGCATATTAAAATTGAGTGTCAGTATTCTGAAATATTTAGTAAAACTATTTGTATCATTTAAAATTGTCTTATCTGCGAAAAGGTTGATAATTTCATTTTATAAACAAACATTCAATAAGCATTTGTAATAGACTTTTGAAAAACTCAGAAAAGTAGACAGAAGAAAGTATAATTCTATGAACAGGCTATGAGAAGCACTTGGATTTTAGTTTTGGGGTTCTTGGCATGTCATTTTCTTTGAGTACTTTTATTAGGAATTGCGTGTTTGAGCCTTGGCTGCAGTTTTACAGGAGGCTGTCAGGCTCCTTGGTTCTAACAGCCCAGCCTCTTGCCTGTGCTCCTCCAGTTCTAGGGTGTGCCTGGTTCCTGCATCTCAACCTATGTGCTGCTTCAATGTTGCTTCTCTTTTAATTCCTTATGTTACATTTTCGTGTTTAAAATCACCAGCTTGCTTTCTGGTTTAGCTGTTACTGTTCTCTGAGGCTCCTACTTGATGTCCCTTGTCCCTACTGGTGTCTCCTCCCTTTGTCTCCTCCATCCACTCACTCTGTTAGTAAGGGTACAAGAGGAGACAGCAGCTACTGCATAATTTGAATAGGAATTTTTTGGTGTATTTGCATATGAGCTAGGTTTTTTGCTGTGCAGCCCAAACTGATGTTGAACCTGCTATTCTCTTGCCTCCACTTTCTGTGTGCTGGGGTTACAGGCTTATACCCCCGGTAGTAAGACTTAATGTAAAGAGTTGCTGTCATAAAGGTTTGAGTTAATGGCATTGATTAGTTAGAAGTAAGGTGAATGATGAGTTCAGGAATTGTAGATACATGTAGCCTCTAATCCCAGGGCTAAGGTGGGGCCTCCCTGACCTTATCTCCAGGCTGAGACCTTGGGTAGGCTGCACTCATGGCTCATTGGCTCACTCAAGAGCAGGTGCTGAGAGATAGTGTTGTTGATGAACATGATGGAGTCCACCCATGGGTGCAAGGGGAGCGTTGCTAGGAAGCTTGCTAAGGAAGCGTTCAGTAGAACTATTAGTATTTTATCTGGAAAAAGGTTGGTACTTTTATATTGTAAACATTCATTAAGCATTGATAATAGACTAAGTTTTAAAACTCAGGAAAGTAGACGGAACGAAATCATATAATTCTATGAACAGGCTGTGAGAAGCACTTGAGGTTTAATTTTTTTCTTTTTCAATATTTGTATCTGTTGGTATAAACGTCAGTTTCTTTAGATTATATTAACTAATTCTGGCTGCTAGCACTGCTGATCTGCTGATGTAATGCCCGGTGGGATCTGGGCCTGGAGAAACTGCTCCCCAGAGTTGAGCAGAGCAGAGGAGGATGTTCTCCAGGAGGAGTGAATCGTGATGACAATGCTGGCAGCAGAAATGTCCTGAGTGTCTGGCACCTTTATTTTCATAGAGCAGACATTCAAGTTTTATTTGTAGCTGGGAGGCAAAACCAAGAACTGGTGGTGCCTATTCCAGTCTGATTTGACTGTGTCCTATTGGTAATAGCTCGTGGCCTCTTGACTCTGGCTTCTGCACCCTCACCACGTGCTGTTGTTTTCTGACAGTGTAAGTTGTGCTAGTCCAACGGGTGTGGAGTTAGCCTCTTGGTTTTCTCATGGTATCGAGCACTTTTTTATCCCTGCCTATCCATTGTGGATCTTGTCAATTTTTTTCCATAAAACTTTTTATTTTGCCTGTTTTCTGTTGGCTTATCTGTCTTTTAAAATGATTTATAGCCAAGTGTTATAGTGCACACCTTTAATCCCAGCACTCCGGAGGCAAAGGCAGGTAGATCTCTGTGACTTGAGTCCAACCTGGTCTCCATAATACATTCCAGGACAGCCAGAGCTACATAGTGAGATCCTGTCTCAAACAGACAAACAAACAAGAAGATAAAAGGCTTGTAAGAACTCTTTGAATGAACTGTAAGTGTAAAGATACAAGACAGTTTTGTGTTTCATATATCTATCTATTCTGTTTCCCATGGTATCTTCTAAGAAAAAGTATTAACATTTATTGCTATCTTTTCCTATGGCCTTAAAGGCTTTCTAATGTTTTTAAAACTTTTTTATTTTGGCAGGTCAGGGCTTGGAATGGAGCTTCCTGTCTTGTGTGAGGAAATAGAGCAGTGTCAGGTTTCTGTGCTGACACACACAAACTGTTTTCCAAAGTGCCATGCTCCATTCTCGCCTGCAGTAAATGAGAGTTTGTGCTCCACAACTTCCTAGCATTTGGTGCTGTCACTTTTCTGAACTGGTGGCTATTGTTTTGCTGCTTTATAGTCTAAATGTCAGTTAGTTTTTTATTAAATCTTATTCAGAGTTTTCAGATATATTGGTATTTTTTGTCTGCTTCCTCTAGAATTTGTTGAAAAAAGATATCTTAAAACTAGTCAACTTATTGTCAACATTTATCACTTACTGTGGTCAGTTTTTCTTTATATTTGAGAGTATATTACTAGGTGAATTCCAATTTAAAATTTTTACATCTTTTTGATAAGTTGGTCTGTAATGACTAACATATTTCCAGTAACGTCTTTTGTATTAATACTTTTTTGTGTAATTTTAAGTGGCCTATTTCTCCTTTTTTAGCAGATATTTGATCTGTCTCCTTTTAGCTTTCTTTAGCTTGCAGTATTTCTGTAACCTTATGTTCTAGGTATGTTTGTTTAAAAAAACTTGTAGCATTTTAAAAATTCATTCTTAAGTAAAGCTGTATTTTGTTTTGAGACAGTTTTATTGGACTGGTCTTGGCATGTATTTTGTTAGCATGGTCCTCCTGTCTCAGCATCTTGAATGCCTTGATTACAAACATGTGCAGACATACTTAATTTGTAGTGATATTTTAATTGGAACATGTATTCCAATGATACTTCATGTAATTATACTTGAGTTTATAATCTTTAAGAAGTTAATTTTACCTAGTGTTGTTTTGATTGTGGCGTATTAATGTCATGCTCAGAATTTCATTGTTCAGTGAGATCTTAGATAACCAAAGTTCAGTGAGATCTTAGATAACCAATCAGTTTCTCTCTTCCCCCTCTAACCCATTCTTTTCCTTCTTCCTTTTTCTTTCTCACTCTCCTATGTAATAACAGGGAAATAGTTCTTACTGAGATGTATTCATGGTGTTGAATCTGTTATTTTCAGTTTTTACTTTTCTTTATTTCTAGCTTTTCGTTGTGGCCTGCAGTTTTTAGGCAACATTGCGTCACGGAATGAAGATTCCCAATCCATTGTTTGGGTCCATGCTTTCCCAGAACTCTTTATGTGAGTAAAATGTTGAGATCTTAGTTTTTTTTGGGGGGGGGCTGGCTCCTGAAAAAATTGTGCTTATAATTTCATTTTTATGAAGTTCACAAGCTGGAAAAACAAGACTGTCATGCAGTAATAGAATTCAGGATAGCACATATTCTTTGTGACTGATAGCAGATAGGTGTTAGCTGGGAGGAGGTGTATGAAGGAGACTCCCGGAACCCTCCTGGACCCTGCCAGTGTGTTGAACTTTGGTTTGTGTGGTGGTTCCGTGATACACATATATACTCATTGAGCTCTGTACCAAGACATGTGGCCCTTGGGAACATGCCAGCTTGTTTTGAAGAAATAAAAGTTATGGGAAGTGGATTGGGGTGAGGGGTAGAAAGGAGGTGGGGGAGGGAACCGGAGGAGTGGAGGGAGGGGAAACTGTGGTTGGTATGTAAAGTAAATTAAAAAATTAATTAAAAAATGAAAATAAAAACAAAAAAAGAAAAGAAAAAGTCATGGGGAAAGTAGTAACTTCTTTAAGGACCCGCAGATTTATACAGGAGAAAGATAAACAGGAAGCCTTAAAATCTGGCGTGAGTTAATCCTTTATTTATTTATTTTTTACTGTTGTATATATGCATGGCCCAATATTATTCTTCATAGAAAATGGAGGATTATAAGATTTGGATAATATATGCTTATCAGTGTGAGATGACTTTCACTGTGAGAAGTGAGATTGCTATTCTTTGCTTCAGACTGAGAAATGTGGTAATCTGTCACCGTGAGAAGAAGATAATTCAGTTCCTCATGTTAGTGTTAAGAGATGAGTACCCAGATTATTTATTACTCACTGTAAGATGTGGTTGACCAGTCTGATGGCTGCTGTAAGAAGTCTATAACCAGTCTGGTTATTTATATTGGCACTTGAATTGGTTCGTGTTATGCATTGCTTTAGAACACTAGCTCTGTTAATTTGTAAGTAGTTGAGCGTCACAATAAAATGTAAATTGGTGACAGAAGTGGATAGGTAATTGAAAGACACTGTGTAGTGGTTGTAGAGGCCAATATTCTAGTATGGGCAGTGTGGGTAGCAGCTGTTATCTCTGTTCTTATAAGTCCTATAGATAAATGGAATTGATTCTGCTTGGACAGGTGAGGTTCCTGCAGATTGTCAATAGTAAAGGGCATAGCTGCAGTGTCTGGATCCATGCTGTGTGTGCTGCTGTGTAAGGTCTGAGCTGCCCTCTCTGGTTGTGTTTGTTTTCTGGGCTTGTATATAACTTTTGGTTATTAGATGAACTCTTACTCAGTTCTAGCTCAGAGTATAGTTCTCAAATGCCGAAAGTGTGTGTTTATAGATATATGTCTATTATCTTTACATTTAATAATAACTGGTTGTAGGAAGGAAAGAATGAAACTCAATCTACATAAATATATAGTAATTATTTATAATTTTTAAAAACATTTCCTATTTAGCTGGGCGTTGGTGGCACATGCCTTTAATCCCAGCACTCGGGAGGCAGAGGCAGGTGGATCTCTGTGAGTTTGAGGCCAGCCTGGTCTATAGAGCGAGTTCTAGGACAGCCTCCAAAACAATACAGAGAAACCCTGTATCGAAAAACCAAAAAAATTTTTCCCATTTACTGTGTACATGTATTAGTGCTTTGGTAATTATGTGGACTCCAGAGATAACTTGCAGGAGTCAGTTCTCTCCTTTTCACTTTTACATGGGTTCTGGAGATTGAACTCAGGTCATCAGGCTTGGTGACAAGCACCCTTACTGGCTGACAGATCTCATTGGCCCACATAACTCTTTTTTTTTTTTTCTTTTTAAAGACAAGGTCTCACTTTGTAACTCTGACTACCTGGCCTAGAACTTGCTGTGTTGACTAAGCTAGGCCTTGTAATTCACAAGAGATCCACCATCCCCTGCCTCTTGAGTACTGCCATTAATAGTGGTGTGCATCACCATGCCTGGGTTGTGAAGTTTAAGTGGGGACAAAAATCAAATTTTAGGATGAGCCATGACACAACTGATAATAAGTGACTTCACTAACTTCTTTTAGTTAACAAAATTTAGTAGTGATCATTTTAATTTTCTTTTTCTGTTTAAATGTTACTTTCTTTTCAATTCTGAGTCCTAAGTCAAATGCAACTTTTTATTGTCTTTTTTGAGATTTATTTTTGCTTTGTATATGTGCATGCATGTCTGTGTGTGGTAGTGTGTATGAGTAAAGTTGCCCTCAGCCAAAAGATGTTGGGTCCCTTGGAGCTATAGTTACAAGCAGGGGTAGGTGCTAGGAACCATAGTTGGGTTCTTTGCAAGAATTATTTGTGCTTTTAGTCACTGAATCATCTCTCCAGTCCCATTTTATTGTATCTTACTGTTATGCTTACTGTTTTTCTAAACAAAGATATGCTTTGTTTCACAGCATTATAAATCTTTATTATATGCTAAAAATACCAATATGTACTAAATTTGCTAAGGATTACTATTATTTATGCTACAGTCACATTTGCTGCATTGATAATTGGACTAAGAATCTTATTTCTCTGTCAGGTCTTGCTTAAATCATCCAGACAAAAAGATTGTTTCCTACTGTTCAATGATTTTGTTCACATCTCTTAATCCTGAAAGAATGAAAGACCTGGAAGAAAACCTCAATATTGCCATTAATGTCATAGAAGCTCACCAAAAGCATCCAGAGTCTGAATGGCCGTAAGTATCTTGCTGGAAATTTGATTGTTTGAGGCTATCCTTACAGATCATTTTCCATATAGAGGTTTTAGTAATATATTGAAACAGGGCTGCTGTGTTCTCTAGGCTAGCCTTGAAGTTTTGATTCCCTACCTCAGCCTCTCAGGAGCTCAGGTTGTTACTCCCACATCTGGCTTATTCCAGCTTCTAATTTATTAATTTATTTACTTTTTGTGGTGCAGATGAGTTGAGTTCATGTAGACAAGTACTCTCCCACTAAACTACGATCTCAACCCCCTTTTTAAAAGTTTCAAGTAAAAACCTGAGGTATAATAGTTGTTTTTGAGGTTGTGAGAAAGGTTAAGCCTGAACTTGACCATGAAGTGTAGGAGATTTCTTAAGGTGGTAAGGAAGGGGGAGACCAGTTTTGATGTGTGAATGAACATAGTACAAATGTCTCAGCCTGTTTGGAGACCACTGTGATCCTAGCAAATGGTTCATTAAAAGATCAGAAGTTGGTTCCAGCCTGTGGGCATTGTGTAAATGAGACACTGCTACTATTCACATCACCTATGTAAACAGAATGTTTGATTTCTCTCTTCTTGCTTTTAAGATTTGTTTTACTTTTTTTTTTTTAAGGAGTTAATGTTATTTAGCATTGATTTCTTGGAGCTTGTTCTTTTTGGGATCCCTTCAACTTCTTGTCTGTCCATCCGTCCGTCCATCCATTTATTGATGCTCTTATTTAATTAAAAAATTATTTTTGTTTTTCAAGACAGAGTTTCTCTGTGTAGCCCTGACTTCCTGAAACTAGCTCTGTACATCAGGCTGAAAATGTGAGGCTCTTATGTTCTTTATCAAGATTTATGTGTGAGTTAGGGAGAAGAGGCTACTTTAGGTCTCTTGCATTTATATGTTAATGTTAGGACCATCATTTTAGTTTTAAAAACAGGTAGAAATTTTTATGAATCTATAGTTCTTTTTTTACAAGAATGTATTATTGGGTGGGGGGTGAGGGGACGGGAAACTGCATGGCACATTTGTGGAGGTCAGAGGACGATGTTGTGGATTGAGTTTCTCTTTCTGCCTTTATGTAGGTTCCAGGGATTGAACTCAGGTTGGCAGGCTTGCTCAGGAAGAGCCTTTATGTGCTGAGCCACCTCACTGACCCTTCTGTTTGACTTCTAGTCTGTGTTCGCTTTCTGTTGTAACCTTTGTTGTAGCATTTTTGCTGCTTGGTTTGGGTTTTGGCTTTTTTATACTTCTTAAGATGGAAAGGCAGTTAGATTGTTGACATGGGGTCTAAGCATTTACATCCATCAATTTCCTTGTAAGAACTGTTTTAGTAGTCTGTCAGTCTTGCTGTATTGTGTTCCAGTTTCATTCATTTCAAGTTATATTTTGTCTTATAATTTCTTATATCCACTAGTTTTTTAGGAGGTTGGTTTCCATCTATTTGTTTATTTCCTAAGTTTCATCTTGTTATTAATTTTTAATTTTATTTCACTGGGGGTAGATACCCTCTGTATGACTTGATTATTTTTAAAATTCTTGAGGTTGCTATGGCCCACTGTACCATGATCATGGAGAATGTCTGTGTGCACTTAAGATGAGTGTGCTTTGTTAGGTTTGCTAGAGTCTTTTAGAAATCCAGTTTCTTTCTTTTGAAGCAGCGTCTTGTATCCCTTGAACTAATAATTCTTGTGCCTCAGCCTCTCAGGTGCTGAGGTGACAGCTGTACCATCAAGCCAGTTCTTTGAAGTTGCTATATGTGTTAAGTATATATGTGTAGTGTCTATATTTATAGTTGTTACATAATCATGTAGTATCTATGTTTATAGCTGTTATGTCATCTTGTAATGTTTATATTTATAATTATTACATTGTTTCCCAACAAATTGATCTGGTTTTCATTGTAAAACTAATCAAAAATTTGTTTACATTTTATTGTTGTTTTTCACAATTTAGTAGTCTTTTCTTATTAATATTAAGTATCCTTGTGGATTTATTCCTCATAATGTACAGTGTGGGCAGGACCCAGGTGACCTTCTGATAGTTAGCCTTTGGTGAAATATAAACCTTTCAGTTTGCACCTCCTACATGAAATATTATGTTGAAGTTTTGTCTAAGTTTAAAATTATTTACTTTTCTGGTTATCATTTGTATATGAATTACCATATTTAAATAAACAGCTGCTGTCAAATGAAAAACTTGCATGTTTAATTGGAAAAATGCCCCTCAGTATGCACACATAGCATTTGCAATCATTGAGGATGAGTCCTCAGAAGTTAACTTACTTCAAGCCAGCTCATAACAGAGTTCTGTTTTATTTGGTAGGTACTTGATAGGTAGCTGGGGTCTGTATCTTAGCAGCTTGGAATAAAGAACCAAGCTCATAATGGGAAGGTAGAGAAGATCTACTTGAGAGTACTTCAGAAGCTTTCAGCGGTTACCAGGTGGGGTTAAGACAGGACGGGGGAGGTGGTCCTTAGCTGCTAATGTCTGCCGCTCACATGCTGCATGGCTGTGAACTGTGCAGAGGCCTCCAAAAATTGTTTACTATTAAATCTGAACTGATTCCTGAAAATAGAAGACCCTCTTTTCCTGGGTTGGACATGCAGATGGCTGAGAAAGAGCACCAACTACATGAGGATTTATTATCATCTCATTTTTTCTTTATTCTTAGAAAGGGAAAGATGTAAGACTATAAAAATAACTTCAGACCTTTCTGTTTGGGTATACTGGAGTAGCATGAAAGTGTAGGTGAGAAAGTCTGACATTGCATTTGGTTTGAGTAGTTGGATAATGTCTTTCTATGCCTAAAATTTTTCATAAACTTTATTATAAAAACTACTGAACCGAACTCCTGGAATCCAGTTGCAGAGAGGGAGGAGTGATGAGCAAAGGGATCAAGACCAGGCTGGTGAAACAAAAACAGCTGACCTGAACAAGGGGGAGCTCATGGACCCCAGACTGATAGCTGGGACACCAGCATAGGACTGATCTAGACCCCCTGAACATGGGTGTCAGTGAGGAGGCCACGGCAATCTATGGGACCTCTGGTAGTGGATCAGTATTTATTCCAAGTACACAATGGACTTTGGGAGCCCATTCCACATAGAGGGATATTCTCTCAGCCTAGACACACGGGGGAGGGCCTAGGCCCTACTCCAAATGATATGACAGACTTTGGATATCCCCCATGGAAGACCTCACCCTTCCTGGGGAACAGAAAGGGGATGGGATAAGGGGTTGGTGGGGACCAGGGGAGGAAGGGAGAAGAAGGAACTGGGATTGGCATGTAAAACAAGCTCGTTTCTAGTTTAAATGAAAAAAAAAAACTATCACATTTAATCTTAGCACTTGGGAGGCAGAAGCAGGTGGATCTCTGTGAATTCGAGCCAACCTTGTCTACAAAGTGAGTTCCAGGACAACCAGAGAAACCCTGTGTTGAACCCCCCCCCAAAAAAAAACCCCATATATATCTCAGTGAACTTCTTTACATTTAGAGTAGCCATTCTCAAGCTGTGGAATTTTACATTGGATTTTACACATTGACCTTTGGATATATTTTTATTCACTTAACCCTCCCCACCAAACCCAAAATATCCACAACGGAATTAGAACTAGAAAAACACATAGCTTTTTAAAGATATCTTGCCATAATTCATGTCCATCACCTACATTCACTCCTAATAGTTACTCTTTCTTGTTGTCTTTTCTGTGTGTTATACTGTAGCCACACATACACTTGTTTACACACGTGTTTTGTTTAGATTCTGCATCTGAGACAGATTGTGTGTTTTTTCCCCTTCCTGAGATTGCGTGATCTTGAGTAATATAGTGTAGTCTTCCTTGCCAGCCGCCTAGCCTGTCACAGTGGCAGTCCCCAAATAGCACACAAGACACTATATTAATTATGAAGCTGTTGGCCGTTTGCTTGGTTTCTTACTCTATCTCTGATGTAAGTATTTAACCCATAATTGTTAATTTAAGTATTTCTCTTACCAGAGAAAGGGTCCGGACCTCTTATTCCTCTGATGGCTACATCATGTCTCACTCTGCCTCTCTTTCCCAGAATCCTCCTTGAGTCCTAGTCCCACCCATCTTGCTTCCCTATTGGCCAACAGTGTTTTATTCAACAACCAATAAGAGGCAGGTTTACAGAATGACATCTCCCATCATCTCTTTTCTGTCTAAATAAAAAGAAAGGTTTTAACTTTAACATAGTCAAATTATATATAACAGAACAGTTATCAAGTAAGAACTATAATTACAATATTTAGTTCATTAGCATTTAATAAGATTTAAAGAAAATATCATCTATCCTATCTTTGTGAGTCTAAACTCTTATATGTAACTTATCTTTTATCATAACTAAAGAAAACTATGATTATAACTATCTGCCTTCAATTCCACCAAAGACCACAGAAGGATAATATATAAACACTAGGATTGACAGAGACATCTTGCTACCTGGACAGTCATCCAAAGTTCCTCTGTAACGTTTGGGGCATCCATCTTCAGCCCGTAGGCCACAGTGCATCTGGAAGACTTCTCAGCAAAGCAGGAAATCTCAGTCTTAAACTCTCCTCTTACAATAGTACATCCATTTTCCTGCAATTTTTAATTACATTTTTTCTTTAGAGTTGAATAGTATTTATGTGAGTGTATGTGTATGTTTAATATTCATTATCCATCCATCAGTGGACAGTTAGGTTGAGTCCAATTCTTCGCTATAGTGAATAGAGCAGCAATAAACATGGAAGTGCAGATATCTCTGTGGCAGGGTATGAAGTTTGCTGGCTATATGCCCAGGAATAAAATAGTTGGGTTGTCTGGTATTTGTGGCTCTTTTTCTGCTGTTTGGCAAGTATTTGGGGAAGTAAAACTTGTTTTTTAGTTGCTTGTCCAGTACTTACCATGGTGGGTTTTTTTTGGGGGAGGAGTAAGGGGTGTCATGGGCTGTGTTGTCTGGGCTGGCCTTGAATTTGGCAGTCTCTCTACAGAAGCTTCCTATGTTCTAGAATCATAGGAACATATTATCATGTTTGATTGAATATTGTGTTTTTAACAAATGTTCTCATGAAAAAAGTTTTCATTTCCAATAGCCAAATTATGTATGAATGGGCTTTAGGATTCCAGTTTTATTTGTGAACCTACCTTGGAATGCATTGATTTCTCTTACTCCATTTGTTAAAATGCCTAAACTAATATAATACCATTGACTTTTTTATTATTATTCATTGTTGTTAGAAATATTTAAATCTGAGTAGTGACTAGCAATTATAAAGCTCTGTAGAAGAAATAGAATACTTGTTTAGATTTTTTTCACAGGTAGTGGTGTGGGGGCACAGGGCTTTGTGCAGGTAGTAGCCACTGAGCTACATCTCCAGTGCTTGATTTTATGTTTAGATAGAGGGCAGTGCGGTGGTCATTGGTGTGTGTCATTTGATTATCACACTCAACGACATTTTATTTATGAGAGAGTAAATAAGTTGTGTTTAATGTATTTAGCTACATTATAGTCAGTATTTATAAACACGTTTTTTAGTTCTTAGTCTCACTGCTACCTTCTGTTAGATACAATTGAGAACTAATAATGCTATTCAGTCTTTTTAGATGTCACAGTGGCACTTTAAAGAAATATGCTTGTAATCTTTGCCTCAGGCTTCCAGAGTCATCTCTCTAGTCCAGATGAGAACAGAGCTTGACAACGGGGATGTTTTCTTGGTAACTTGAGTACTCTTAAAGAGTGGAAAATCAAGCCAGGATTCATCACTGCATTGTTGGCATATCTTTAAATAACAATATGACATGTCCATTTTTCTCCTGCATCTTACAGCACTAAACTTCCGACTAAAGCTGCATGTTATGTTTCCTGTCTAGATCTGAATTTTTTTGTAGCTAAATTTCATGTGCCCATTCATAGTGAAAAGCTTGGGTAAAAGCTGAAGTAGACTTGTTTTTCTATTTGAACCAATTGAATTATTTTCATAAAATTTCACATGGAAATGGAGAAAAAAATATTTCAAAGATCATCCTCCTACCTTGTAACTACTTAAGAAAACCATTTATGTATCTCCTAAGACAGAGAAGATCACAGTAAAGTTAGGGCTTTAGATGACTCGGTGAGTGGGGGGAGCTGGGTTAAGAGTACTTGTTGCTCTTACAGAGGACCTGGATTCGATCCCCAACACCCATGTGGTGACTCACCACAATCTGTAGCTCCAGTTTCAGAGAATATATTACCCTCTTTTCTTCTGGCTTCTGTGGTTAGGTATACATGTACACATATATACTGCATACATATGTACATACAGGCAAAATGATCATATGTATAAGATAATATTTTACAAAGATGATAGCAAGAAAATTCAATAAAATGAAAGGCTTTTGTTTTGTGTAACATGTATATAAAGTAGGTAAGGTGTTTTACTGTTTGTAATTTCCCTTTTCCTTACAGGTTCTTGATTATTACAGACCACTTTCTGAAAAGCCCAGAGTTGGTGGAAGCCATGTATTCCAAACTCAGCAACCAGGAAAGGTAACCCCAAACCAGTGTGGGTTTGACTCTTTAGCATTCTATATAGTGTCCTATAGCCTGGGCTAAAAGCTGCGCAATTTCTCTTTGGTAAAGGCCTCCAAGTACATTTGTCTGTGCGGTGCTGGTTTGACATCGTTTTCTTAACATCACAGCCTAGCCACAACGGGCAGTGATTCTTATAGGGTCATTGAATTCAGTTTGATGCCAAATTTAGTAAAAGTATGCTAAAGAAATAAAAACTTTTATGAACAAAACTTTATGGCAGTTTACTCAAGTATACATTATAATTGTATATTTAGGATGTACTTATTTGTTATATAACTAGTTAGATTATTTTGAATATATATTTCTTGGTTTATAGTTTTCTGGTAGATAATTCACATAAAATAGTGTACCTTTATTAGAGAGGAAGAACAATTACAGGGCTTAGTCATACTCCACCTAGGTATTAGAGGGTAATCCAACTGTGAGCTGCTCTGATGGTGATGCTGTGAATCCAGAGAGGGAATTGTTAGTTCAAATCCCTCTGTACCCACAGAGCTGTGAAATCCAAGCCCTGGAGTCTCAGGGCAACTTGGGAGAGTGAGCCCTTCGTGTCTGACTCCAGCCATTGAATGAAGGGCTGCTGTTTATGTTGCTGGTGGTGTTCATGCTGATATGGAAAGGTCCATGCTAGGGATGTGGGGCAGTGAGGGTTTTCTGGGTAAAGAGGCTTGGTGTCCTTTGCTCCTTCTGAGGGAGACAGAGTGTATTCTTTGTTCAGAAGTTTTCTTTGGCAGATTAGTGAGACTAAAACAAGAGTTTTTCTTAGCAGGTTTATGTGACAAGTAAAATTTTCTCTGGTGATTGGAGAACTCTTGTGAGAACCAAGGAGACAATATGCTACTCAGAATGTTCCCAAATTCTAAATCAGATGAGGAGCCACACTTGAGAGTATTGGAGGAACATAGAAGAATCCTTTGAAGTATCACACCAACCTCCTGTATTATGATACCTTATTTACTGTCCATAGTTTAAAGTATGTTTGTGAATCAGTTAATAAAACAAGTACTGTACTAAGTATCTGCTGGTGGCTCCTGGGGCATGATGGTCAACAGTGAGCATACGCCCTGCCTACTGTGGATGGTCAACAACTGCATTATTTTGTGCATGTGTGAAAGTGCTCTCTTCATGTGCTCATTGTTGTAATGTTAGGGTTTTGACTCCTTTACCTAGGGGCTGGCATTCTACTGGGGACAGATTATTTTGTGAATACCCATATAATCAGCTTGTTTGATATGAATAATGAGAACCAATATTATTATGCCCTTTCTGGTTCCCATTCCTGCTGAACCACTGTAATTGTTAGCAGATTGAAAAGGCTGCTCCTTAGAGGCAGTGTGTACAGTGCCCAGGTTCTTGTGTGTGTGTGTGTGTGTGTGTGTGTGTGTGTGTGTGTGTGTGTGCTGTCTGTCTGTCTGTCTGTCTGTCTGTGTGTCTGTGGCACAGGAACAAATAGCAGCTGCTGTTCTGGTGGCTCACTCATTTAGCCTTTTTAGAGCCCTGTTTCATCTATGCAAAAGGATAGTAATAGTCACTTGATGGAATCATTATGATAACTACCTAAATAGATGATAGATTAACGTCTCAGTGTTTGCATAATTAGTAGTCAGTAAATGTGAGGGGAATACCCCTATGTTACTATGTTGCTTAAGCTGGTCTCAGGCTGCAGTGGCCTTCCAAAAGCTGGCATTAGAGACTAAGATTGCAAAGTGTGTGCCACTGTGCTCAACTCTGAATTGTTTCTGCTTATGGCTTCTACCATTAGTACTGCACTGCAACCATAGCTCCCTCCTCCTTTGGAGGCTGTGACTTTTCCTCTTCTATGTATCCCTTGAAAGCAATGGCTAGACAAACACCAAAAATACAAAGACAAATGCTTGATGGAGGAAAGATTTGTTCTGGCTCACAGTTTTAGAGGTTTGAGCCTGTGGGCCACCGTGAAGTACTGCACCACAATTGGAAGCATGTGGGGGAGCAAAGTGGTTCATTTCTTGATGGGCTGAAGGAAGTGTTTTGACAAAGCGTCTGCAGAACCTTGGCAGATTCCATGGCAGGCAAGGCTGGGGACATAGAGCTTAAGTGAGAAGTTTTATTAGAAACAAGAGGGAGGGGGAAGGAAAGAGAAAAGCGGTAAAGACACACAGAGACAGAAAGAGGACAGAAAAGAAGAGGGAGACAGGAAAAGTCCTGTCAGCCCCAGAGGAACAGCAGAAAAGAGAGAGAGAAAGATAACAAAAGTGGGCGGGGGTCTTTCTTTTAAAGGGGTCCTTTGCACCTGTGTGCAAACTATGCAGCAGCTATAGAGCCCTGGGCTGACCATAGAACCAGACTGGCCTGGGTATATTCTGCCAGGTGACAGGGGCAGGCCACTATCATGGCTAAATCCTTACAGGAAGGGATGGGGAACCATGTGTAACCTTCAAAGGCATGAGTTCACTGACCCACTCCCTCTAGCTAGGCCCACCTCCTAAAATTCTCCCTTCTCCTAAAGTAGCATTAGCATCTAGGGACCACAACTGTGTGGTGGGATGTGTGAGCACATGGAGGCTAGAGAGTGATGTTGAGTGTTTTCCTTTATTACTTTCCACCCACCCATCCATCTGCCCGCCCACCCAAGCACCCACCCATCCATACATCGGTAGGGTCTTTCACTAAACATGAAGTTCACAATTTTTGATTAGCCTGGTTGACCAGCAAGCCCCCAAGATCTGCTTGTCTCCTGTCCCCCAACATTGAGACTACAAGGCCATGGGTGGGTTTTACATAGGTGTTAGGTGGTGGGGATGTCCTTCTGTGTATGTGTCAATAAAGCACTGTTAGCCAATAGGGAAGCAAGATAGGTGGCACTAGGAGTCTTTAAGAGGATTCTGGGAAATGTAGTGAAGAGAGTTGTTACCATGTGATCTCTTGGGAGCAATGGTTGCTCAGGAGTGCATCCTCAAAAGTATAAGTCCTTATAAAATATATTAGTAATTATGGGTTAATAATCAAGTCAGAGCTAGCTGATAAGAATCCAAGCAAATGGTCAACAGCTTCATAATTAATACAGTGTCTTGTGTGTTATTTGGGGGCTGAAAGCGGCAACAGGACCCAGGTGGCAGTCAGGAAGACTAAATGTTACAGTTATGAATTAAAGCTCAGCTCCTCTTGCTTTCATAGCAAGTGCTCTTACAGGCATTAAACTGTCTCCCCAGTTTGCTATGTGACTTGGGTGGGGTTATTCATACTCAAACTGTAGCACCACCACTGCCCTCAGATCAGTCACCGTGACTTGGGCATTGTTGTGTTTTCCAGGTTAGGGATCTGAGACTCTGTAGTGTAATGCTTACCAAGGTTACAGAGACAGCTGTTCTTCTAGCCTGAAGATTCTGCTTTGCATAACTTAAGGTTGTCAGCAGTGGCCATTGCCTCTACTTTGTTAGCATGCTGTTCTGGGTTAATACAATTTTTGGCCTTTGTAGCATATAGTATTCAACAAGTCACACTTTTGGAGAAGTTCAAATGTAAATTGAAAATTTGCTGGAGATGTCAGTCTTTGAATTTGAATTAGATATTTTATTTTTTTTGTAAATATTTATTTTATGTATATGAGTGACCTGTCTTATCTTCAAGCACACCAGAAGAGGGAATCGGATTCCATTACAGATGGTTGTAAAAGAGCCACTATATAGTTGTCTGGGAATTGAACTCAGGACCTCTGGAAGAACAGTGCTTTTTACTGCTTGCTCTAGAATACTCATAAAACACTCTTTTCCCCTCATATTTTTATTCTTGGTCCTTATCAAAACCTTTTCAGGTTGCATATATGTGACTTTAGCAACTGTAGCCTATGTTACATTAAATATAACTCAATAGGTTTTTTTTTGTTATAGAAAACTTCCCTAGGTCTTTTGCATGTTCATTGCTAAAACACACACACACACACACACACACACACACACACACACACACACACACACACATACACACAAATCATAATTTTGGGAAAGAGTATACTTATTTGGTCACAAGTGAATTAGAAATAGAATGGTCATGTCAGCTAGTGACTTCGACAAAATCATGGCTCAGAAATAAGAATGTGCTTAGGGACCTCAAGATGGTTTGTAGGATAGAGGGAAAGAAGCAAGTCTTTGAATCTGATGTGTGATGATTCAGCTCACCCTTGAGCTGGGTCTGGTGGCTTTCCATCCTTGTGCTTGAGTGAATAAAGTAATAAATAGCAGTTGTTAGACCATGTATTTGTTTTCAAGGAGGCACAGTCATGTGCCACACATGGCTCACAGTGAATGTTGTATGCCAGTCATCCTGTAAGATTATAATGGAGTTAGCATCTGAACAAACACATAAAACTAGTTCCCTCCAGTTGCCAAAAAATACAGCATGTAACAGTTATGTACAGTGCATAATTGTGCATAGTTTGTATTTAGTATATAGTTAATTGCTTTATATTAGAGGAAATCAAGATGCTGGATTATGCTGGCCACAACTCATTCATATCCGTTTTCATTATTATTATTATTATTATCATCATCATCATCAGTGTGTGTACACATTCATACATGTGTGCACACATGTATGTGGATATATGATATTTGTATATGGGAGAGTGGGTACCTGCTGGATTACAGCTGTTTGCTATTATTTTTAGATCGACATATCTTTTTTTTTTTTTTTTTTTTTGGTTTTTACGAGACAGGGTTTCTCTGTATTGTTTTGGAGGCTGTCAGTCCAGCCCGGCCTCGAACTCACAGAGATCCGCCTGCCTCTGCCTCCCGAGTGCTGGGATTAAGGGCGTGCGCCACCACTGCCTGGCTAGATCGACATATTTTTAATGTAAAACTAGTATTACTTGTCCCAAGGAGGTTTATAAGGATTAAATGAGATAATGTGTGTAATGTATAAGTGTTAGCTTATAATAGTAGCTCTGCTACTATTATATTGTGAATGTGTTCATAAAACTTAAATTGGCAACCTTTCTGAAATGTTGAATTATTTCAATGTTAAAAGTAATGGATTGAAAAAGTGTATTGGACAGTTCATGCTGCTGGTAAGTCACATAGAAGAAACTAAACATTTCTTCATAAAACAGGCAATTGATAATAAGTTTTATTAATAAAAGTTTTTCCTAGCTAGATATTAAAATAAAGTTAAAAATTTTTAATGAAAGTAAGTCTTAAAATGTCCTCTGAAAGTCATTCTTGGTATCATGCATCATAAGTGTCATGTACTCATGCAGAACTCTTTTGTTTTACAGGGTTACACTGTTAGACATTATGATAACCAAGCTAGTGGGTGACGAGCAGCTGACAAAGGATGACATCTCTATATTTTTGCGTCATGCTGAGTTGATTGCAAACTCATTTGTGGATCAGTGTAGGAATGTGTTACAGTTGATCTCAGAACCTCACACCGAGGATAAGGTAAGGAGACAGATCTCATAAGCCTGGAAGGGAAGAACAGACAGGTTTTCTAGTTCAGTCAAATCCTCTATGGGGTTTCTTTCTCAAAAGGTTTTAAAGATTTGTCTCCGTGTGTGTGTGTTTTATGTGAATGTATGTCACATATGTGTGGGTACCTGTGGAGGCCAAAAGAAGGTGTCAGATCCTCTGGAGCTAGAATTACAGGCAATTTGTAGGCTGCCTTATATGAATGATGGGAACTGAACGTGGGTCCTCTGGGAGAGCTCTTCATTGATGACCTACTTTTCTAACCCCTCTTGAAAGGGTATACTCTCTGACTGGGAAGCGATTTTATTAGACAACTTAGAAATACAGATAAGGGAAACCATGCCCTTATTTTCTATTAAAAGTTAGTAGCTTGAAAAGTAATTCTGGTTGATACTTTTATTTAAGCATAGATCCACAGATATATGTTAAAGCCACATAGATAGATTTTGTACCATTTACTTGTCAGTTCCATTGTTGATCAGATTTGTGGCTATCATCATAGAGCTATAAATATAGTAGGCGTTTAACACATACTCTGAATGAATGAATAGATGGAGTCACCCCTCTAATTGGACATGTAGATTGTTTCTACTCTACTCATTGTAGACAATACTGTAGTTTAACTCTGTACATGTCCATACCCTCTTGCTGCTCTTCCAAAGGACCTAAGTTGGGTTCCCAACACCCACCTGGCAGTTCACAACCATCTTTAACTCCAGGCCTAGGAGATTTAATGTTCTCTTTTGGCCTCCGAGGGCACCAGTAATACACATAGGTAGGTGAAAATACTCATACATGTGAAACAAAAATAGATCTTTTAAAATAAAATAAAATCTTAAAACAACAACCTTTTAATAAAGGTTTCTGAGCTGTTTAAAAAGTTATATTTCCCCTACTCAGGGTTAACCTGGTTAACCATCTCACATTCTCTTTTGCTAACTCCCTTTCTACTAAAGGCTACAGAAGCTAGTTGGCAGTAATTCTGTCCTTACCTTTTCACTGGAAAACCTCTGCTTGTACCTGTTTCTTTGCCCTTCTCTCTGAGAATTGTTTTCTCTTGGAAACTTCTGAGTAGCAAAAGAAAGGCACATCTGGAACAGCATCAAAGATGATCCCAAACTAGCATGTGAGCATGTGGACTAAGCTAGACTAGGATGCCATTTCTGTGAAATTTAGTAGTAGGTAAGACTCATGGATGATGACAGAGGACAGGTCATGTTAGCTGGGGCTGAAGTCAAGGGTGAGAGTGATTACATAGGGACACAAGAGAACTGTTTGAAATGTTATTCATAACTGTGTACTTTGACAAACTGTTTTATACTCTTAAAGGTCTATATTACATACAAACCATATCTCAACGAAGTAGATTTTAAATATTTTTTTAAAAAAGGAGAGTAGATCATTTATGTCCTGACAACACTGATCACTAAAGGAGCGATTGATGCTAGAGTGCTGTTGGCGTTAGCTTGAGACCAGGTGGGAGAGCTTGGACTCCAGAGTGGACAACCAAACAGCAGGAACTGGTGTACAGAGAAACAGAAACTAGATCATAGTGTGCCCTGGACAGTGAGTGATCATGGGAATTTCTTGACTTCCAGTATAATTGAAGTCATGTTTGTGATGGTTTGGCCATGTGAATGCACTGTCTTCTTTGTGCTTGAATTCCAGGCCTCTTGGCTGCTGTCCTTTGTTTCCTTCATGCAGACAGCAGTTCTCTCCCTGTGAAATAAAGGACCAATTCTCAGCATTGATTTACCTTTCTGGAGATAGTTGCTTTTGTTCCCAGCAGGGGGAGCAGTGAGGTGTGCCTTAAATAGCAATGGCATAAGTCCATAAGCTGGGGTCCCAGACTGAACACAAAGGTTGACACATGAGCACCAGCCTTTATCTCTCTCTCTCTCTCTCTGCTTCCTGACTGAGGCTGCAGCTGCTTTTGTCAGCACAGTTTCCTGGCCATGATGGAGCAAACTCACACAGTGTGAGTAAAAAAAAATCCATCCTTAAGTAACTTTTGCCTAGACATGAGAAAAGTAACACACACACACACACACCCCTAAGTTGTCTTTAGCCGGGTGTTGGTGGTACACACCTTTAATCCCATCACTCGAGGCAGAGGCAGGTGGATCTCGGTGAGTTGGAGGCCAGCCTGGTCTACAAGAACTAGTTCCAGGACAGCTTCCAAAGCCACAGAGAAACCCTGTCTCAAAAAAAACAAAACAAACAAACAAACAAACAAAAAAAGACAAAAAAATTAGTTGTCTTTATGTAATAATAATCACATATAAATATATAACCATATACATATATGTATAATATACAATTATATTACAATATAATAAACATAATCTAATATAAAATTGTAATTTTTCTAGGAAACAGTAAAAAACTTCAATATTTGTTAAATCACAGCTGACTTTAAATTGTTCACAAGACTTATGTACAAGTTTTAGTATTATAGTGAGATATACCTGGGCGCTCTCTCTCTCTCTCTCTCTCTCTCTCTCTCTCTCTCTCTCTCTCTCTCTCTCTCTCTCTCTCTCTCTCTCTCTCTCTCTCTCTCTCTCTCTGTCTCTCTCTCTGTCTCTCTCTCTCTGTCTCTCTCTCTGTCTCTCTCCCTCTCCCTCTCCCTGTCCCTGTCCCTCTCCCTCTCCCTCTCCCTCTCCCTCTCCCTCTCCCTCTCCCTCTCCCTCTCTCTGTGTGTGTGTGCTGCATGCTTGGGGCTGTGCAGGTGTATATGTCCATGGATGTGCATGAAGCCAGAGCAAGATGTTAGATGTCTTCCTTTATTACCCTCCTCCTTACTGTCTTAAACAGGGTCTCTTATTGAAGTGGTAGCCTGTCCTTTTGGCTAGGCTGGCCTGCCACAGATCTCTCTGGATCCACCCGTTCTCCTCCCCTGTACTGGGGTTACAGGCACATGCAGTTTATTTTCTGGGGATTCAGACTCAGGGCCTCAAGCTTGCAGTGCTTGTGCTCTCACCTACTCAGTCATCTCCTCAGCATCTCATATTTTATGTAGAAAAGTTTACTATGTTTTCCCCTCAAATAGTAGTTTCTGTAAGGGAGGAGGAAATATGCAAATTTGCATATATTATACTTTGAGATAGAAATGGGGATTAAAAAACTACTTTATGCTTGAAGAAGACACTTGAGCCTGTATTCCAATATAACATATTCTCAAGTTGAATTCTGGAACTGGTTGATTCCGACTTCTGAGAGTCTGCTGTTCATAACTAGATGTTATGGGCTGGCTGTTGCTTGGTTGTCAGAGTCATCATGTATGTTAGTGAGTGATGCACATCATGACTCTGCCATCATCTCCTCAAGCCACCGACCAGCGAGCCAGCCATCATTCCCTACAAGAATAAGATATTTAATAAAATTAATAAAGTTTTCAGAAGACTGTGCCGGAAAGTAGCTATGTTGTAGAAGTTCTTTGGCCTGTGTGGTTTAAAACACTGAGGCTTTCTTTATTTGCCTCTTTACAGAAGGAGTGGCATGTTAATTCATCATGCTCATCTTTTGACCCACTTACACTGTGTAGTCCATTTTGATATAGTTGAAGGTTGACTTTACTGAATCTCAGTTACTTGTCCTGAGCATCACCTTTCCTTTGAAAGGTTTGTATTTTCTGTGTACTTTGAGAATTACCATTAGTTGGAGGGCTTTTTATTCATTTAGTTCTTGCAAACCCCAATTAAGCAACTTTTTGCAGTAGCAATTAATATGAGTTTATGGAATGAGTCAGAATGGTGCTTTTGCAAAAACCGATAATCATATTTTTGCACTTTGCTCATATTTCACCTTTCTGTAAAGGTTTTTTTTTCTTTTTCTTTTTTCTGAGACATGGTTTCTCTTTGTAGCTTTGGAGCCTCTCCTGGCACTTGCTCTGTAGGCCAGGCTGGCCTCGAAATTCACGGAGATCCTCCTGCCTCTGTCTCTCAAGCACTGGAATTAAAGGCATGTACCACCACCACCTGACTTGTAAACAGTTCTTTAGCTGGTATCACTGAAACAAAGTTAAGAAGTTTCTGCTTTTCCCAGCCCCACCCCCACTTTTTTTTAAAGACATTTAGGCTTTAAAAAAATTTGTAATCATTTACTTTTTTGTTTTCTTGGAACTCATCCTGTAGACCAGACTGGCTGCAAACTCACAGAGATGTATGTGCCTGCCTCTGCCTCCTGAATCCTGGGATTAAAGGCATGTACCACCTATGCCAGACTAACCATTTGCCTATTAATTAATTTATTTGGTATTTTGAGTTAATGGTGTATATACGCATAAGTGTGGAGGTCACAGGACAACTTGGGGGGATTGGTTCTTGTTGTGAAATATTAGTTCAAGATGTGTTACATTCATTTATGGTGTGGAATATTTGTGTAGTGATGTAAATATGTGTTGCATTCTTTTATGTTGCATTTGTTTAACTCTGTCTGGAAAGCTGTGTTGCCTTGCCTGTCTAAAATACCTGATTAGTCTAATAAAGAGTTGAGCAGCCAATAACTAGGCAGAAGAGAGAAATAGGCAAGGCTTTTAGGCAGAGAGAATAAATAGGAGAAATTTAGGCTCAAGGAGAAGAGTGAGGAGCAAGAAAAGAAGGAGAGGAGGCTGCTAGGGACCAGGCATGGAGTAAGAAGGAAGGAAAGAAAGTAAAAAGCCCAGAGGCAAAACATAGTAAAAGAGAAACAGGATAATTTAAGTTAGAAAAGCTGGGTAGAAACAAGCCAAGCTGAGGCTGGGCGTTCATAAGAGAGCTGGGTGGTGAGCACCCAAAGAGTTCAAAACAAAACAATACAAAACAAAAAAACCCCTGCAGGTTCTCTCTTTTCAACACGTTGATTTCAGGGTTTGAGGTTTGGGCACAAGCACCTATACTGCCTAGTCCTCTTACTGGCCCTACTGTATGTTTTTCAAAAGTTGAATAAGGTTTCACTATTTAGACATAGTTTTTTTCCCCCTAGACTCTTTATCACTGACTAAAAGGAAGTCATTTTAATTCCACCTAACATATTTCCCATATTACTCATTAAATTTCTCTTATTACTAAAACCAGCTTTAGCTGGATGGTGGTGACAGCACACACCTTTAATTCCAGTACTCAGGAGGCAGAAGCTGGCAGGTCTCTATGAGTTCCAGGCTAGTGTGATCTATAGAGTGGGTTCTAGAATAGCCAGGGCTACACAGAGAAACCCTGTCTTGACAAAAAACAAAACAAATAATAGAGCTTACATTACTTTGGCATATCACTTAAAAAATTATTCTCTTAAGGATAGGAAAGATTGCTCAGTGGTTACAGCCTGTACTGCTTTTCAGAGGACTTATTGGTTCCAAAACACACACTGGGTAGCCCACACCAGCCTCTAACTCAATGCTTCTGGCCTCTGTGGTCACCTATACACACACACCCAGACACACACACACACACACCCAGACACACACACACACACACACACACACACACACACACACACACACACACACACGATTGAAGATTAAACATTTACTGTCTTAGAACTAAGAGTGAGATGGGGCTGTGGCAATAGCTCAGGCAGTGAAGTGCTTACACACAAGCTTGGGACCTGAGTTTGATTCCCAGAACACATGTTAAACAGCCATGTGTGCTGGTGTGCTCTTGTAATTCCCACATTGAGGAGGCAGAAATAGGCAAAGCTCTGGGGCTCATAGTCCCTAAAGGTTACACTAATCAGTAAGCTTCAGACCAGTGAGAAAGAGACCTTTTCTGGCTTTCCTGGGAACCCAGGCCACTCTCATGTGCATAAACCCACACACCAACACATGCATATAATTAAAAATGAAATTCATCTTTAAAAAGATTGCAAAATATGTAACAGTCTTCTAGTAGATTGGTTAACTACTAAACTATTTTTAATTTACATACTCTTGATCTAGAAATTGGATTTTTAAGAATTTATAAACCCACATTTACTTGTTGGAAACTGCAGATTTGTACAAGAATGTTCAGCATAGCATTATTTGTAAAGTGTTATAATAAATTTTATATCTACTGAAAACAAATTAAAACAAAAAAAAACAAAACAAAATAAAAGCAGCATCATGCACTATGAAGAATCAGCCTGCTCTTTCTCCATTAAACTTGTTATCTAGAGGAGACAGTCTGGGCTGTCACCACTATAGAAGAGAGTGCAGAGGCACTGCTGAGCTCATGGATTTGCCCTGATACTGACTTCTTTTTTTTTTTTTTTTTTTTGGTTTTATGAGACAGGGTTTCTCTGTATTATTTTGGAGGCTGTCAGTCCAGCCTGGCCTCGAACTCACAGAGATCCGCCTGCCTCTGCCTCCCGAGTGCTGTGATTAAAGGCGTGCGCCACCACCACCCAGCAGAATTTTATCTTAATGACCTAAATTTATATGTGCTCCTATGTTTTGTCAAATAATGTATACTTGAAAAAGTGTGGTTTAAAATCTGTAATAATTGCACCTTTGAAAAATATATTGGACTATTGGGGTACCTTAGAGTTGGCACATGGTGATTTCCTGGTTGTGCCTTCTGTTTCATATAAACTATTTAGTAGATATGAGATAGCATTTTCAAATACTATCTCTTCCACTCTACCAATACATTGCATACAGGCTCAGATTTACCCAGAAATAATGTAAGTTCTTGAAGCTAGTGTTTTCTCAGACCACAGAATATTACAGGATTTTTGTGGACAAGAAGTTAGTGTGTTTTGTGGAATGTTTGCATCTTTAAAGTGGAACTTTCATATTGAGAATGCTTTAAAAAGAAAGTATTTGCATAAGTGTTATGTGTACCTTGTAATTTTGAACATTTATCCCACTCTTAGGAGGTATTTTTGCTTTAATAAGAGCCTTTCTACTCTTTGCTCCAAGAAGACACATAACGAATGACACATAATCTTGCCCTCTTGATGCAGCTGTTAGTGATCATTCAAGAATATTTTAACACTTCTGTTTTCTCTCTGCAGATGTGTCAAATAGCATTTATTACAGCATTTCATTTTCTCATCATTATCTATAGCAATCAAAGTTAAAATTCTGATTCCTAGTAAGGAGGTTTCCTTATTTTTTAGGAAGCACTGGCTACTATTCGACTTCTGGACGTCTTGTGTGAAATGACATCCAACACTGAGCTTTTGGGCTACCTGCAAGTTTTTCCTGGACTGATGGAACAAGTGATTGGTGCGTGAAATAGCAGACACAGTAATTTTAGTTAAGAAATCTTTGACATGCTCTGTACTATAATTCAAACACAAGCCCTTATTTTTGGTGTTTTCACTTGAAATTCTTCTAAATTTTTTCTTGACTGGATTTGTGGTATAATGCTGACAGCTCAGGTGGCATAAGCTGAGGCCACATTGTTGTTCCTTCCCTTCTGTAGAGGTTGGGCCCTACTTAGTAGTATGATGATTAATCAGGCCCCTTTGCAAATACCTACAGTGTCATTTCATGGGAGTGTTTTTGATGAAACATGATGGGTATTTGCAAATGAAAAAAGTGATTTTCATAAGTTTTATTATACCATAAATTTTATTTATAAAGTCTGGTAATATATTTTCCCCAATTATACTTCCAAGAACATAGAATAGTGTTTCACTCACGTTAGGGATTTAATCTTGTAACAGGATTAACAATTAATAATTAAGAAGCCAGTATTTGAAGCTTTACTATCTTTATTCAAAAACTGCAAATGACGTTCAATGGGGCCTCCATTCATGTAGATACTCAGTCCTAGGCTTTGCTTGCCACTGTTCAGTGTTTTCCTTAAAAAACAAAAAATCAGATACTTTTTCTAGATGTCAATATAGAAGAAAGATGTCTTTGTATCTACAATTGTAGTTGAACCAGCAGTGGTCTGTAGAAAGCATTTAGAATTCTATCACAGAGTTCTATTTTGAATGCAGTACTTTTTTTTTGTTGTTTTGTTTTTATTTTTATTTTTTGTTTGTTTTACGAGACAGGGTTTCTCTGTATTGTTTTGGAGGCTGTCGTTCCAGTCCAGCCTCGAACTCACAGAGATCTGCCTGCCTCTGCCTCCCGAGTGCTGGGATTAAAGGCGTGCGCCACCACCACCCGGCTGAATGCAGTACTTTTAATGATAATCAGAATAAATAACCAAACTAGGAATCATTATGAAGCTAAGACCAATGTGGGTTGCCATCCTATCTCTGCCAAGATACTACTTCTCTGAGTCTGATTGCTTCATGTAAAATTGTGACAGTGATGTCTGCATTTAACAGGTTTGTTCAGAGATTTAAATGTGTAACTCCTGGAAGAGTGTCTATTTTCATAGACTCTTGGGGGTATTCACAGAATATAACAGTATTATTTGCTGTTATTGTAGCTAATGTCAGTACATGCCTGAGGCTGATTATTGACCATTGAGAAAACTGTAAGTTATTGCTAAAACCTCTTGTGATTTAAACTTGCCTGACTAGCTATCACATTAGATTTTGTGTAAATAAATTGGAATTTATTTTATGCCGGGCGGTGGTTGCACACACCTTTATTCCCACCACTTGGGAGGCAGAGGCAGATAAATCTCTGTGAGTTTGAGGCCAGCTTGATCTACTAAGGGAGTTCCAGGGCAGGCTCCAAAGCTACACAGAGAAACCCTGTCTTTGAAAAAAAAAAAACAAAGAAAGAAAGAAAAGAAAAAGAAAAAAATCATTTTATAAGAAAAAAGTTGCAAAATTTTAGTTAACCTTCTTTTGTGGATAAATAGAAATTCTGAGTGAGACTAATTGTTATGATCAGTCTCCTTCAAACTGGGACTTAAAAAAAATGAATGCAAAAGCAAAGAAGCTATCTAGTAATTGTTATTGCTGTTGGATTTCTGTAGTGCTGAGGATGAACCAAGATTCTAGGCAGGCGCTCAACTGCTAAGCTGACCCCTACACTCGATTATTATTGAGGGGGTGTTAGGTGCTTTATCTTAATCCATTGTGTTTGTTTATGGAGAACTTAGATGTTGTGTTATTTTCTTAAGGAAAATGAACTCTACTTGTTTGCTCTAGATGTTTTACGGGTGATTCATGTACTTGGAAAAGATACCTCAAACATCTTCAGTCCCTCTGATTCTCTAAAAGCAGAAGGTGACATTGAACACATGGCTGAAGGGTTTAAATCTCATCTCATTCGTCTGATTGGAAATCTGTGTTACAAGAATAAAGAAAACCAAGACAAAGTAAGATTATTTCTTAGTGTGCCACATATAACTGTGTTTAGGATATGCTGTTTAGAAATTGAATACCTTCCCTCTGCAGGTGAGTGAAATCTTATGTGAGTTCTTAGATAATTGATTGAAAAATAACTATGGGCTAATATGTAACATAAAACAGTATGTTACATCTGTTTTTCTACAAACAAGCACAATGTGTCTTACTCGAAATTTTTTGCTTTTTATTTTAGTGGTTCTGCTTCTTTATTTTAGTGGTGTATGTGTGTGTGTGTGTGTGTGAGTGTGATAGATGAGTGTGAAGCAGTGTAGGTGCATGCTTTACAGTGCATGCACGTGAAGTTGGTTCTCTCCTCTCACCATCCCTTCCAGAAATCAAGCTTAGGTTGAGAGGCTCTGCAACAAGTGCTTTCTATTTGCTGAGCTATCTGGCTGATTCTGTATGTCACAGTTTTTGCTTCATGATCTATATTTTTATAGTTTTTCCATTTTCTTTGTCCTGAATGTATTTGGGGAATTCTCCTTTCTTGTAAATTAACAGTGTCTGTCTGAAGTCTGTTTTTTTAAGCACTCTATTATGATGTAGGGAGAAGTCCATAAAATAAAAACAATAACAGCCAGACTTGGAGGCAGGTGCATCTCTATGAAGTTCAGCCTGGCTTATTCTACATAGCAAGTTCCAGGCAGCCAGAGCTGCATAGTGAGAACAACAGAAGAGAATGATTTTAACAACAGAGCTGCATAGTGAGAACAACAGAAGAGAATGATTTTAACAAGTTTGGAAATTTTTCTAGTAATAGGCATTTTAGAAAAACCGAGCTAGGCATGGTGACACATAACTGTTGTCCTTGCCCCAGGGAGGACCAAAAAATTGAATCATATCAAGACCAGCCTAGGCTACATAGCAAGACACTGTCTCAAACAGAATAAAACAAAAATGTTGCTATAACTGTTAGAAAACTTTGCTGGGCTTGGTGGCATACATCTTTAATCCCAGCACTCAGGAGGCAGAGGCAGGCAGATCTCTCTGAGTTCGAGGCCAACCTGGTCAACAGAGTGAGTTCCAGGACATGCTCCAAAGCATACAGAAAAACCCTGTCTTGAAAAAACAAAAACAACAACAACAAAAAAATGTGTCCTGTCCTAATTCTTTAAAACTAGTATTCTGAATAGATATGCATTTAATTTCTAGAAATATGAGAGGCCCCCTTTAGAACTTCTTTTCTTCTCTCTTTTGTACTTAACATTGTAGAGCTGATAATACTGAAAACATAAGATTGATATTGATAAAGGATCCACATGATGATTAGGTCACATGCTTCATGCTGACTTAACACCCACCTCCCTCTATCCCTCAGATAGGCTCTCTCTTTGTAGCCCCAGTTGCTCTGAAACTTACTATTTAAAATATGCTGGCTTTGAGCCCACGGAGATCTGCTTGCCTCTGCCTCCTGAACACTGAGATTAAAGATGTGTATCATCATGCCCAGCTGGAACTGAGGTTCTTTGTCTTACTAGGATTTACTTGGGGCAGTGTTTGTTTTGCTTATTTAAATATTAAGTCTATTATAGGTTATATTTTCTAAGACATCTATAAAAGTTCTTATTACTGTATGTATATTTCTGAGTGTCAATTTTACCATACTCCTATCAAGGCATCTATTTCTCCATCCTGTTGAAACTCCCCAGCCTACAGGACTGCTTTGAACAGTAATATACGATAGGAATGAGCCTGTATTGTTGTGGCATAGTCCATTATTTGCCCAGCTTTTAGAAACTAGTTATGTAAGAAGTGCTGATTCTGCAAGACCGCCTTGCTGTGACTGGTGAAACCACGTGGAGAGCCCAGAAACTGAGACACAGACAGCCGAGCTAGTGAAGAAGCACCATGGTGCCAGAAACACTTGCAAAAGGTCGTCTTGGAATGTGTAGTCTTGGTTCTTTATGTGACTGGTCCAGACAGAGCCTTTTCTTAATTTTGGATCTCAGCACTGTGAGAAAAAGTGAAGTGAGAAAAAAACTTGTGTAGGTTTTTCTTCTGTTAATAGTGCAAGATGCTGCTATCGGCCTTAACATTTATAAACTAAATGAAGTCAGTCTTTTAAAGACATTCAAATTGGCACAACTTCATGCATTCTGGAGTGAAATTCATACTAGAAGAAGGGAATGAGACAAAATGTGACTTACAGGAAATCTACTTGTTTTCTAGCTTGAAGAAAAAAAAAAAAAGAATAGGCTAGCAAAATATCTCAGTGGGTAAAGGCATTTGCCACCAAGCCTGATGGCCTGAGTTCAATCCTCAGGATCTACATGGTAGAAGTTGTCCTCTGGCCTCTATACAGGTGCCATGACATATATTCATTAATTTTCTTCTCTGTCTTTCTTTCCCCAGTCACTGTCTTTCTCTTTCCACTCTTCCTCTTCCATTTCTCCCTTTCAATAAATGTAATAAAAAAGGAAAAAAAAACAAAGCAAAGAACAGTTTGGGAGCAAATATTATTGGAAGTGAGGAGGGAATCCCTGAAAAAGTAAGCCCAGGCTCTCGGCCTCAGTTCTCTAAGTCTTTGCTTATGTTTGAATCATATACAAACCTGGCAGGCTCCAATCAAGTAAGCTGGGGACAAAGTAATTATTGAAATCTGAGTTGTCAGTCTGCAAAGTTTATGTTTAAGTCAACTAAAATAAGCATTCACTAAAACAAACAAACAACCCTCTTTACAAGACTATAATATAATTAAGAATTCCCACAGAATAGTTTATACAGTGTCTAGGAGCCAAAACAAAATCACCTGCCCTACAGGAAAATGTATTCCATTGTTATAAGAACTATTGCTCAAAAGAAGCTGACTGCAAATCACAAAGATGCATCAAGGATTTTTAAAGGAACAGTTGTAATAGTGAATGGACAATACATATTATATGAATGACAAGATAGGATAGAAATAAGAATTAAAGAAAGAACTAAATAGAAACTATAGAAATGAAAAATAAAGTATCTGAAACCAAAAGGTTTATGAATTCTTAAGAATACCACAGAGATGGTAAGGAAGTGTGCATACTTGATTCAGAAGTAGAAATCATCCAACCTGAAAAAGACAGGGGATAAAGATTGAAAATACAACTGGTCTTTGTGTTGTGTCACACTTGGGCACAATTTGTTATGTGATAGTTGATTATGGGGAAAATAAGACCTGCCGTTTTGTCTGTTGTGTGTACAATTTGGATATTCCTCTTCATTGAGCAGGCATATTATCTAAGACTACTGATTCCCTATTGGAAACGTACTGGATTGATTTTTGTAAAACAAAGTTGATAGGCAGTAAAAACTTTATCTGTTTTAATAACCAAAACTGCCTTTTTTTTTTAGGAGCACAGCAGAGGTGAGTTACTTGTGTTCAGTGATTGTTTTGTTGCTAATTTGGGGTGGCCTCTCACAGAAATACACTGTAGTGACCCTCAGGCTTCTGGATAGCTCACAGAGTCAGGAGCAGGTTGCACTCTAAGAAGCATGGAGTGTACCCAAGTGCTGCGTGGAGGACCCTGAAGCCCCCAGGAAGTTGCTGTGTGTTCTCTAGTAGAGCAAACACTCCAGAGAGCATGAAAGAGTGTGAGAATGCCTCTCTATCCCAGTGTCTTTCCTGTGCTAGCAGGGGCTCAAACCTGAAAGCATTCCCTTTGGGGGACACTACCCCCTTCTTTTTCTGTGTTCTGGAAGCTTCATTCCTGGTTTCAGTTGGATAGTAAAAATGTATTTTCCTTGCTTATTATTTCTGCAAGGGATAAAGTTCACTAGCTTTCTAAAACGTTTGTTTCAGTTCTGGGCAATTGGCTATTTGGAGAACAGTTCTCTATATGGAGTCACTAATTCCTAGGGTGTTGTTTAGGTGGTTTGTTTGGCTTCTATGCAAATTGGAGCCTACAGATAAATTCAGCTTTATATTTCCAAGACTAAAAAAGATCCCGGGTTGGGGGAATTTGTGTCATCTCGCCAAAAGAAAAAAGGAGTGGATGATTATTTGTTTAGTGTCTGTGTTGCTGCATCATGCCTTCTTATGGGTGCTGTCAGCTTTAATGTTTGCAGCAGCCTTGCAAAGCAGGTTTTACTAGGGATGTGAATGGAGAGGCTGTCTACCCAGAGTAGAATTTAGATTTGTTTTCCTGTGAATTCCCAGGTTTGTGCTCGTTATTCTGTACTCTGTTGCCTCTTATTTTGGAATTTTCCTACAGTTTGGCAGGAAAGATTTAGACTTCCCAAAGATCATCAGCCCACAGGTCATCGAACCAGACCCTTTCAGCTCCTTCTGGGTTCACTTAGGAAACCCCAGTGCACTTTCCTCTTTCTTACTCATCTCTCCATCAACTATGAATATCCTTAATCTTCAGGGCCTTTCATTTGGTTGATGAAGATTTGCTTCCTGGGAAGGTTCCCTTCTAGGAATATTATGAAAATTTCTTTCCTGGGGAGAAAGCTATCACCTCCCTACAAGATGCTAATAATTCTACCCAAGTTCACTCTGGGGAGCCGGTGAGTCTTGAGGCTTACTTTGCGTGAGAGACTGCTAGTAAGAGTGGGAGACTCCAAGCACAAGAAAGTAGATGGAGTTCCCTTCAGTTAGAAACTTTCATAGAATCTTTGTACATGGTGCTTAGTTCCTCAGAAACCTTAGCAGAAGCCTTTGAGCCCTACTGTAGTTCTGCTTGTCATGTAACTTCATTTGTAGTAATGGGATGTCCAGTAGCTGGCTAAGGCACTCCTTTTGTGGCTTTTTGAGTTTTATGTTTTTTGCATCTGCACTGGGTAACTAGAGCCTGTGACTCCTGAGGGGGGGATGATTGACATAAAAATTGTTTCTATCAATTTCTAATTGGAGAAACTAAGGCACAGGGAGAGTTCAGTGTGATTTAATTAAGCTGATATTTATTGAATGCAGACTTGGTGTGGTGTGTCCTGGAGATGCCATTAATTCCAGTAGGGGCCAACAGGCATGCACTACTTCTTTCCCAACAAC